AATTGACCGTACATTCTGCTCTCTCGTCACTTCGTTTTGGGATTGTTGTCGATGGTTGAACCATTGTTAAAGCCGAGTATGTATGTCTGACTGAATGCAACCTTTAAAACTGTCCCTGTTGTGTTATGCAAGAAAAATTCTGAAATTAGGCAAACTGAGCCCAAAAATGTGAAATTATGCGATTCCGTTAATTTTAACAAAGAATGATAAAGGAAAATAATAAGAAATTATGCAAAAAATGATCAAATTTTGCTAAATTATGCGGGGTGCTTAAAACCATGGGGAGAGTTAAAAGAACGGTTTTCCTGTAGGGGGCCTACATTAAAAGAGATCGGACTCGGAGATTTATTATAGGCCTGCTTTGGTCGAATTCTTGTTGTCATAACCGCGATTGTTAGCCTATAGGTCTAATAATTGGGGCCCACTGTAAAAAGATAACGCCAACAAAGTAAACGCTGTGTGTCACGGTAGTCACCGTATTGTACCTTACTCTTTTTTACTCACGGGACGTAAGCGCCCTGTATGCCATGGGCTCTTGGTTAATGTTACTCACTTCGGGGATCTATAAAAAGTCAAACACTACACCCGGTCTCATTACATTTAGAATGCTTGCTGTCGTGTGTGTTCGTCTCTAGTTTTACTGTCGTGTGTGTAGACTAACATTACATGGTGTCAGAAGTCAGTGGATAACGTGTCACAAGTGTCAGAATGCCTCATTTCAAGCCCCCTGAGCCGTTTGATTTTTCGAAACCTCACGAGTGGCCCGAGTGGCGACAGCGTATGCTACGATACCGCACAGCCACCAAACTGAGCGCAGAGACCGGAGCAATTCAAGTAAGTTCATTAATTTACGCTATGGGACGCCAAGCTGAACAGATATTTAACACGTTCATGTTCCCTGCTCCCGTCGAAGGTAACGATCCTAGGGACAACTTTGACACTGTCTTAGAGAATTTCGACGCTCACTTTGTCCCCAAGCGGAATCTTATCCACGAAAGAGCAAAATTCCATGCACGAGCACAAAACAGTGGGGAGACGATAGAAGAATATGTTAGAGCCCTGTACGAACTTTCCGAACATGCAGACTTTAAGGACCGAGATGAAACCATAAGGGATAGACTCGTCCTAGGAGTACTGGACAATGAACTGTCACAGCGCTTACAACTCGAGGCAACTCTTACTTTGAAATCAGCCATCGAAACAGCACGCCATTTCGAACTCGTAAAGGGTCAGGTCAGTAGCCAACGTCAGCTAGGTGCAGCAGTCACAGTAGATTCAGTGCGCTACGGCCAGAGAGGATATTCGTCGCCTGCTCACCCCAGGGGTAGAGACGGCCGAAGAACAGGTACACACTCACAACACAGAGGCAGCCATGCATCACCGTCAACTTTCTCTAACTGCGATAACTGTGGAAGAGGTCATGCCCAAAACAATTGCCCAGCGCGCGGGAAAACTTGCAGGAAATGCGGCAAGCGCAATCACTTCGCAACAGTCTGTCGCAGCAGCAGCAGCCACAATGTCAACGAAATCACCGAATCGGAAACTCCTTCGTTCTTTTTAGGTGCTGTTGACAGAGACTCGGACAGTAATGTCGTTACCGATGTAAACTTCGGCGAAGTTAGCGAGCCACCATGGCGCGTTACACTGAACCTTGGAGGGAGAGCTACATCCTTCAAGATAGACACAGGGGCCGATGTTTCGATGATGTCGAAGGCCGTCTACAACCGTCTCAGTCCTCGTCCAAAGCTGAAAACAACGTCTGCAGTTTTTCGCAGTCCTGGTGGAGTCATAAGGAGCGTGGGAGAATTTATCGCAACTACGCTGCATAACAATCGCAACTTTGCGTTCCGTGTTTTCGTCCTTGACGACGACACAGACTGTCTTCTCAGTCGCGACGCCGCAGTTCGTCTGGGACTGATTTCTCGAGACAGAATAGACTCTGCCAACCTCGTGTTCGGCGATGTGGGACCTAAACCTATACGCTGCGAGCCAGTGAAAATCATCTTGAAAGAAGATGCACAGCCATACTCCGTGAACGTCGCACGTCGGATTCCCATTCCACTCATGGACGAAGTCAAAGCTGAACTAGACCGTATGGAGGCCGCAGGTGTCATTGAGAAGATCAGCGCTCCAACTGACTGGTGTGCACCCATGGTCCCGGTCAGAAAAAGGTCTGGTAGTGTTAGAATCTGCACAGATCTGAAAAAGCTCAACCTATCGGTGAAGCGTGAACGATTCATGCTGCCCACCATAGACGACATATTGTACAAACTCAGCGGATCAAACAAGTTCAGCAAGCTTGATGCAACTTCATCCTTTTGGCAGTTGGCACTGGACGACGACTCCGCGAAGCTGACCACTTTCATTACCCCGTTCGGTCGGTACTTCTACAGACGTCTCTGTTTTGGAATCACCTCTGCGCCTGAGATATTTCAGCGTACGATGCAAGACATTCTAGCAGGCATAGACGGTGTAGAGTGCTTTATGGACGACATCCTCCTGCACACGGATGGTCAGGAGAAACATGATAAGCTGAAGAAGAAAGTCTTCCAGCGGCTAAAGGAGCGTGGGGTCAGGTTGAACAAATCCAAGTGCAAGTTTGACAAGGATGAAATCGATTTTCTTGGCCACATCATCAGCGGGAAGGGTGTAAGGCCAGATCCATCCAAGGCCAGCGCCATCACTGAGATGCCAGAGCCAGAGAACATTACAGACTTACGACGAGTGCTCGGCATGGTGAACTATTTGGGCAGGTTTGTGCCAAATCTGTCAACAGTCATGAAGCCGCTCACCGATCTTCTGAATCACGATGCTGAGTGGGCCTGGACTCCAGCGCAGTCATCTGCCTTCACTGATGTCAAGAAGGTACTGTCGTCAGCTCCAACACTCGCCTTCTTTGATATGAGGAAGCCTGTCACTGTAAGCGCCGATGCAAGCAGCTACGGACTGGGAGGAGTTCTCCTCCAGGAAGACCGGGGTGATCTTCAGCCAGTGGCCTACTGTTCCAGAACTTTATCTAGGGCGGAGAAGAACTACGCTCAGATTGAAAAGGAACTGTTGGCGGCCACCTGGGTGTGCGAAAAGTTCGATCGCTACCTCATCGGTCTGCCGTCATTCACACTGCTCACCGACCACAAGCCCATTGTTCCCCTGATCAACTCTAAAGAACTGAATGATGCACCTGTCCGCTGCCAACGGATGCTGATGAGGATGATGCGCTACAGCGGAAAGGCAGTATACACCCAAGGGAAAAACATGACTGTCGCAGACTCCTTGTCCCGAAGTCCAGTAGTGAGCACCGAGCCTGAAGAATTTGGTGAAGAAATCGAGGCTCATGTCGCTACAATCCAGATGTCATGGGATGCCACAGATAGCAAACTCGACGAAATTAGAAACAAGTCTCAACAGGATCCAGCGATCAGTGCTGCGATACAGTACACTAGAAGCGGTTGGCCGAAATTCATACAAAACGTCAAGTCCGAAGCTCGCGACCTCTACGCAGTTTCCAGTGAACTGAGCGAAGTCCATGGACTACTCGTCAGAGGTAACCGCATCGTAATCCCCAAGGCAATGCGAGGAGAGATGCTCAGCAGAATCCACGACGGTCACCTCGGTGTGTCGAAGTGTCGAGAACGGGCCAAATCTTCCATTTGGTGGCCTGGTCTCAGCTCCGAGATACGGGAAGTCGTCTCAAGATGCGACCATTGCCAGCGGAAACGTCCAGCACAACCAAGCGAACCTCTAACCCCGACAGCTCTACCTGAGCGGCCGTTCCAGATGGTTGGTGCTGACCTCTGCAACTACAAGGGACATAACTACCTGGTACTCGTGGACTACTTTTCACGGTACTTGGAGGTGGCCTACATGCCAGACACCACCTCAGAGACTGTCGTGTACAAACTGAAAAACGTCTTCGCTCGGTTTGGCATTCCAGAACTACTGGTGACTGACAACGGTCCTCAGTTTGTGTCAGACCGTTTCCACAAGTTCGCCAAGGGCTGGGGATTTAAACACACGACCAGCAGTCCTCATTTTCCCCAGAGCAACAGCGGGTCGGAGAGAGCAGTCGAGGGAGCGAAGAAAGCCCTGAGTCAGGACGACCCATTTCTCGCACTCCTGATCTACAGGTCTACACCGGTGTCACCGACGGGGGCGAGCCCAGCGGAACTTGCTCTTGGGCGACGCCTGAGGACGACCCTGCCAACTCTACCGTCAAACCTGAACCAGCAGGTCTACGACAGGGCGAAGATTGCAGCCAGAGACGCTGAGTCGAAGCGTAAGTACAAACAAGCTTTTGACAGACGTCACGGAGCTCAGAACCTCCCGGAGCTGAATCCCGGTCAGCTCGTCCTGCAGAAACTGGAGAACGACAAGGAGTGGCGTGGCCCTGCGGTTGTCAAAGAACGGTGTGCACCGAGGTCTTACATCATACAGTCTGGGGATAGGGCTTACTGCCGGAACAGCAAACACCTGAAGCCCTACGTCGACCCTCCTTCCATGCCTTCTTCACCTGTTGCCACCCCAGAGCCTACTCCAATGTCCGTTCCCTTACCTCCGCCACCAGCTGTCCAGCCGGTGGAGCCTGATGTCACACCACCATCATCTCAGCCAGCAGCCGTTCCAGCCAGTTCAGCTCCAATAACTACACGAAGTGGACGAGTGGTCAGGAGACCCGCTCGTTACCCGGACTGATGTTCTTGCGACCCAGTCGCATCCTTTCGATGACAAATTTTACTTTGTGTTTATTCTTTGCTGATTACCCAACAGTTGTGTAGACTTACCTGTTCGAAGTAATTTATTTTCTCAAGTTCGTTATCGGGACGCTATGCTGTTCTATGAATGTGACAAAGACAATTTGAAATGTGGATATTATGAAATACCAAAGAACTTTATTGAAATGTGTTACAAAGTTCTCAAGTGCAAGCCCGGAATCTTCAAAGACAATTGAACTCTGTGTGAATTTTGTTAAAGTTAGAACATTCCCCTTTGAGAGACTCGAAGCCGATAATCTTTAATCCATTTTGGGGTTTTCCTTTTTCTTCAATATTAAAAGGGGAGATGTCACGGTAGTCACCGTATTGTACCTTACTCTTTTTTACTCACGGGACGTAAGCGCCCTGTATGCCATGGGCTCTTGGTTAATGTTACTCACTTCGGGGATCTATAAAAAGTCAGACACTACACCCGGTCTCATTACATTTAGAATGCTTGCTGTCGTGTGTGTTCGTCTCTAGTTTTACTGTCGTGTGTGTAGACTAACATTACACTGTGGAGTTAACATCTTGTTATACTGGGGGGTCTGAAAAAAAAAGACTCATTGATAAGGAGGCAAAAACTCGGTTGATATCTTCGGACTATTTTCAATAAAACTTTCAAAGAAATAAAAGTTAACGAGACCAATGTTACACTTGTCAATATGAACAGAATCAACCAATAAGTTAAAAAAATACCTGTATTAATTTTTTTAATTTTCAAACACTACTGGGTGAAATTGTCTTGAAACCCGAAAAGGAACTGTGACACGCCAGTAGCTGTGCGCTTTTGAAGTTTACGTTAAATTTTGTATTTTATTCAAATTTGGTTGAAATTTTTAAAAACTTTATAATTTTAAACTTGAACGAGTCGACTGATTTTCTACATGTTTGTGAACTTGACGTACCCTTAGTTGAATAATATAATTTGTTCGAAGGTAGATGCTGTCCTTTGTCAGTGGACAAGGCGCAGAAGTGGGATTATTGCTTAACAGGCGCTGTGACCAATGATAATACGTGTATTATTATGTAACAATTTGTGTGTGTGTTTGTGTGTTTGTGCGTGTGTGTAAGTATTTGTGTATGTGTGTGTATGTGTGTGAGAGAGAGAT